TATATATATATATATATATATATATATATATATATATATATATAATTATATGCATTGATTATTATGATAACATTTCTCACCCTTCTACTGTTTTATAATGCTCTATGAGGCATTGCAGATTAGGTTATTGGAAGTCTTTTGTGAAGTATAGCTTCATTCTTTTGGTCGATTAGCTTTGATATGTAGCACCGGGTAGTTAGGATTGTATAGTATTCTTTTGGGATACATTTTGTACATGTATCTGCTGACAAATGTTTATGTAAACATGAATGATGAGGTGAATCAAACTGGATGATATGTATTTATATGATTACATGTTTAAAATGATTCAATATTTAGATTTTCCGCTTTTAATTCTAAATATTGAGATGTGGTGTGTAAGGACTAAGTTCCTCTATTGAAGCTACCCCACTGTTGCATATCTCTATTGAGCAGGTGTTGTATGTTTTATTTCACGTATTATGTGACATGCTCCTTTTATACCATGTTTTCAATTATACTCTAATGAAATTTTAATATGTGTTTAATTGATTTATTGTTTATTTGGGGGTGCAGAAGGGGGTGTTACAGAAATCACCTTCTTCAATCCAACACTAACCAACATGCATCTAATCTTTTCAAGGATTGTTCGATTGAATCTCTCAGCTAAGCCATTTGTTGAGGAGTACCTGCTACAATCTTATAGCTTGCAATCCCAGACTCAACATAGTAACCGTCAAACGCTTCGTTGCAGAATTCAAGGCCATTGTCAGTTCTCAACCTCTTAACCTTTCTGCCAGTTTGAGTTTCGACCAGAATCTTCCAACTTTTCAAATTCTCAAAAGTTTCATCCTTCTTCTTCTGAATTAATACCCATAGCTTTCTGGAATAGTCATCAACGATGGATAGAAAATACCTTGCGCCTGAGTGGGAAGGATTCCTTGCAGGCCCCCGAATATCAGCATGAATATAATCCAAGGATCCATGCGTTCTTTTCTTTCCCTTGTTAAACTTCGTCCTATAGGATTTACCAAATACACAAGATTCACAAAACTCTGGCTTTTCGACTTTGTCACCTTCTAGCAGGTTCTGCTTCCCCAATTCGACCAGGCCTCTTTCGCTGACATGGCCCAATCTCATGTGCCATAATTCTGTTTTCGACACAGGTTTCATGGATGCAATATTTGTTGAACCACTTACAACCTCAGCCTCAAGGGTATACAAGCCTTGTTTCTTCACGCCTCTCAAGACTTCCTTCGACCCCTTCACGACTCTTAGAATACTTTTGTCTCCTTGAAAAACATATCCCTTTCTGTCGAATTCACCAAGAGAAATCAAATTTCTCTTTAAGTCAGACACATACCTAACTTCAATCAATAACCTTATTGACTTATCATGGAGTTTGAATCTCACAGATCCAATACCTACAATTTTGCAAGATTTGTTGTTTCCCAACGACACAGATCCACCATCTTGATCACATAGCTCCTCGAACAATTCTCTGTTTGGAGTCATGTGCCAAGTGCAACCTGAATTCATAATCCACTCTTTTCTCGAGTCGCCACTTGAAACCACAAGAATATCAGATGAGTCGAAGTTATCTTGAACAACGACTGCGTTGCCATTACCTCTACGATCTTTCAGGCGTTCAGGGCACACCTTTCTTATGTGAACCTCCTTTTTACAGTGATAACACCGAATATCAGATGTTTCGCCACTATAAGACTTCTGTTGACTTTTACCTTTTTTCTTGTCGAACTTACCATCCTTTTGCAAGAATTTTCCTTTAACGACCAAACCTTCGACCACCGTCGAAGGTTTATGCTCCTTTTGTTTGTTCATATCCTTAGAATATAAGGTTGTTTGAACTTCTTCAAAGGTCAGAGACTCCCTTCCATACAAGAGAGTTTCTTTGAAGTGAGCATGTGTTCTGGGAAAAGCACACGACAACAATAATGCTTGATCTTCATCATCAATCTTCACATCAATATTTTCAAGATAAAGAATCAGCTTGTTGCATATCCAACTGCTCAGCCAAGACTTTATCTTCAATCATCTTGAATGAATACAAAGCTTGCTTCAAGTAGAGTCGATTCACCAGAAATTTGGTCATGTACAAACTTTCAAGTTTCACCTATAATCCCGACATTGTAGTCTCCTTTGATACCTGTCGAAGAACCTTATCACCAAGGCTCAACAATATTGCACTGTGGGCTTTCTTGATCATGCCCGTCTTTTCTTTTGCCATTAACGCAACGTCCATGGCTGCCACACCCTTCAACGCTTCCAAACAACCCTGCTGCCACCAGTAGGACTTTTATCTTCAAGCGCCACAAACCAAAGTTGTTCACTCCAGTGAACTTTTCAATCTCATACTTTGTTAAAGACATCTTCTCCACGCTCACCGCACCAATTTATTGTGAATCAGATACCTTGAGACAAAGTATAAACGGTTTCTTAATGATCAAGAAACACACAAGGGTTATGGTTAATAAAGAAGACAAAGTAAAATAACAAAGAACAACAAAGATTGGTTATTAAACTGTTATTCTTTCCTTTCTCTTAGAACAAGATTACAAGTATACAAGAATAACAAAATAACCTTTCTCTCTTGAAATTAAGATTTTATCTTCTTATTTTTCCTTATAACAAGATTGAGAAACTAGCATCCTATTTATAAGAAAAAATAGCACAATAACATAATGGGCTTTTTATCAATTATCCATTACAAGCTAACTTGGGGTACAAGCTAACTTAAACAATTGGGCTTACAAGCAAGACCCAATTCAACATGCTAACAACCCTAGCAATATTGACTAATGCATGTTGGAATAAACTTCGACTACAACACATATTACTCGCGAACAGACTTCGACCATACTAGAGTTCGATCCAACATCTCACATATTATATATACCCTTTATGGACATTTCCGGTGCAATTATTGATGTGAAACAAAAGAAGCTAACTTTTGAGGCAGGTGAGGAGAATATATAATTCATTCTTTCTCGATTTTTGAAAGCCCCAACTATATATGATTCTTATCGTTTTATATATATTACTGTTGAGCGTGTAAAATAGCCTACGTCAGAAGCACGATTGGCTGTAGAGTTGGTTTAACTTCTCGCGGCAGCTATGTTAGAAGAAGATGTTACTGAGCTTTATCGTCCTTATGTAGATGATAGTCTGAGAGAGTGCTTTGCACTTACCTCTAACCCAATGCCTAACCCTAAGCAATTAGTGAACTTTTGATTAATTGGTATTTCATGGCCCCACTTGGATTTCTGTTGTCCCACACAACATATTGACATTATTACTTGCCTTTTATAACCCAACAAGAATACATCATGTATTATAAATTTTATAAATTTACTTATTTTAAAGTTTTGGCTTGCGCGCTCTAAGTTTTTCTTTAACTTTTTGCTTAACACTGAATGCTTATTGAAACATTATGTGAATATGGTGAAAATAAGAAGAGGAACAACTACTTTAGGTCTTGAAAAGAAGATAATATAGTCCTACTTGTAGAGTCAAAGAAGGATTTAAATAAGAGGTTGTAGACTTGGAGACGAGCATTAAAAGTACATTGTTTTCACCTAAGCTAAAGTAAGACATGGTATATGTAGTGCAAGTTCAACAAAAGAAGAAGTGTTTCTAACCTAGAGGTGAAAGTTGGACATATCATCCCATAAATCACATGGTTTAAATATCTTGGATTCATAATACAAATAAATGAATTAATAGAAGGGGACGTACCATTAAATTCAAATTGAGTGGCTTAAACGAATGAGGGTTTCAGGAATTTTATGTGACATAAAGGTACAACTCAAACTAAATGGAAAAATTTATCGAGACAATTGTTGGGAGGTTAAGAATCAACACGAGAATGAAGTAGATGTAACAAAGATGAGGTTGTCTCATTGGATGTGTGGTAAGACTAGACATGATAAGATTATAAATGACAATATTAAAGAGAGTGTTGAGGTAAAATCCATAGTAGAAAAGATGGTAAAAATATTCTTAGGTGGTTTGGACATGTAGAAAGAAGACTTGTAGATTATGTGATAAGAAGAGTAGACCAGATAAAGATAACTCAAACAACTAGAAATATAAAACGACCTAAAAAAACTATAAGAGAAATTATTAAGAAATATATAGAGATAAATAATTTGGATAAAATCACAGTCTTTGATATAACATTATGACAAAAGTTGGTCCAAGTTAGCGGCCCTACTTAATGATATAATGTTTGGTTATTGTTGTTGTTATAATCCATGACAACGACACCAAAAAACTTGTTGGTTGAAAGATGTACAAGTATACTACGTTAAATAAGTAGCAAGTGATAAAAAATATATTGATTCCACGAAAATTGTTATAAAAAATTCCATTTAACATTTAAAATGATAAAATAATTCATGAGCAAAAATATGATATAATGATAGCATATATCAGGGCTGTGTAATAATCAAAAGTAAGAACGAGTACAAATTAGAAATGACGAGAAGGTTGAAATATGATTCATTAAATGATTCGGAAAATGTATGAGATGTGATGAGGATGGGATCTTGTGGTGTTTGTAAACAATGTGAGAGAATATACAATGGTTGGTTAAGATTTCTTTATGTCAAAGGATCTACCAAAGATGGCACGTAGAATATCAAAATGTATCATTTTTGATATGGAGTCTCATGCAAATACATACCGCGCTTATGCGGCAAAAAAAAGCAAAATGAGGAGACTATATTTGGAGAATGAAGCAATTAATTAATAGCATTCGCCAACAATAGGCATTTGAGAATGGAAGGGAGATGATTGTTTGTGCATTGCATTCACCAACAATAGTACAATTGCAATTGCATGCCAACAACATCAACAAAAGATGAATTAGGGATTTGCATGCGAACAACAAGAAGAAGAAAAGAGGAATCAGGGATTTGCATGCGAAGAAGAAAAGAGGAGTTAGGGATTTGCATGCGAAGAAGAAAAGAGGAATTAGGGATTTGCATGCGAACAACAAGATGAGCGATAGCATGAAAAACATGGCGTCGACGGCTTCCGCATCCCGCGGTTCAAGTTCATCCTCCAATGGACTCCTCACCGTCACCATTGCCAACACCAGCCCTCGCCGCGCCCTCGCTTCTGATGACAATGACGACGAAGACGAACTCCTCATTGATCCCGACGATCCTTTCGACGTTACTCAAACCAAAAATGCTCCTCCCGAAACCCTCAAACGTTGGCGAGTATGCTTCGCTTCTTTCTCTATCTCTTTCTAAATATTATTATTCCATTGCAATATCTATAATCTAATCAACTTCTTTTTCTCTTTTTCCAGCAAGCTGCATTTGTGCTCAATGCCTCAAGGCGTTTTCGATATACTCTTGACTTGAAAAAGGAAGAGGAAAAAGAGCATAAGAAAAGCATGATTCGAGCTCATGCCCAAGTCATCAGAGTAATCTTTTATCATATATCACTTCCACTATTTCTTTATATGCTAACCTTCTTTCTTCCTAATCCACCATCAATTCTTCTATTAGGCAGCTTTGCTTTTCAGATTGGCCGGTGAACGTCAACTAGGTATGCTTCTTTTCTTATAATACCTTCCAAAACCTTCTTCCTACTCTAATATTAACACCTTTCTAAAATCCTAGCCTTCAACTCTTCCATGCTTTTTCACCACTTGCATTCACTTTATTTCCATGGGACCTACTTATTACTACTTGTTAGAAAACTGCCTGCTTTTTGTTCTAATAATCTATCAAATTTAATTAGTTTCTGTTTATGCTAAAGAATGATTTGGTCCTTTACTTGTTTTTTTGGTTTATTGTTACATAGAAAACTGCGCTCGGTTATTTTGAGTTCTGATGAGCTTTTTATTATACTTTAAATTAATATTTTGAATTGCAGTGACAGGTACAACAGTGGCATCCATAACTCCAGGTGGTGACTATACAGTTGGACTTGAACAACTTGTTTCAATGTCCAAGAATCAAAATATTTCGGCTTTACAACAATATGGAGGGGTAGGTCTACTTCAACATTATTTTGTATGTCATATTTTGTGGAAGCCGTCTGATTTGCTAATAATATAATATAGTGATGTCTTATTCAGGTTAAAGGCTTATCAGATTTTCTAAAATCAGATCTAGAGAAAGGGATTAGTGGAAATGACGATGATCTATCAAAAAGGAAAACTGCATTTGGAACTAATACATACCCTCGGAAAAAGGGTAAAGGTTTATGGGTATGTCATATTTTATTTTTCGGCTAAAAAAAAGTTAGTATTGTTGAATTAGTTCCTGTGCTGTCATACTGATTACTTAAGTCGTTTTACAGAGGTTCCTATGGGAAGCTTGGCAAGATCTGACCCTTATAATATTGATTATAGCAGCTGCAGTGTCATTAGTGCTTGGAATAAAAACAGAGGTTTGATCGACTACTCCTCATCAATCACAACAATAATTTGAGCATAAATAGGTCCCCTGGTTTTGTGGAACTATAGGAAGCTTAATAGTTGAGAAATTAGGTCTTAAAGCATGCGTGTTGGATACCTATGTTGTGCAAAGCTTTTGTCTCCCTTCATAAAGAGGATATGTTTATACGGAATTCTTAACAGAGTTCTGCCATTCTTAAGCTAGGCACGCTGCACAGACAAAACAAACAAAAGTGAATTCTATATTTTACCTTATTTTATGTGTTTATCTTGGGATCCTTGCCTTCTTTTTCTGTTTTGGCAGTGCTTGGCTTCACTGAAATTTTCCTTTCATTCTAGGTCTCAGGAGGGCTTGGTTTCATTGCAATTTTCCTTTCATTCTATTTGAGTTTATATCCTCCTTGAAGGTTTATGCTTTATCTGTTTGAAATGGCTAGGGATTGGAAGAAGGATGGTATGATGGAGGAAGCATTGCTTTTGCAGTTATACTTGTCATTGTAGTTACAGGTAATGGAATCAACATTTTCTTTCATTTTACTTGCATTTACATAACAGTCATAATCAACATCCCATTCCCTAACAACTTAAGTTATTTTTTAGTTCATGCATCACATATAATTTTTGTATTTTAAGGGGCAGTAAAAAGTTCGATATACAATGACCGATTAGTCTACACTCTATATAGTTTACATGATTCAATAATAATTGATCTATTATGAAGTTTGGAAAGGTTTTTCATGGTATTATTGAAGAATTAATTGAGATAGAAACTAGTAAATGTGAAGTATAATTATAATCTTTTATGTTTGAGAATGAAGAAAATGAATACATTTAATTTAAATGTTTGGTATGATTTATTTTTAAAGAATATTAAATTCCCGAAGGCAGAGCTTATGAAGGTTCTTAATTTATTTATATTAACTTTGTGTTGTTACTTTTGTCTTTTTGTCTGTCAGCTGTCAGTGATTATCGACAATCTTTGCAGTTTCAGAACTTGAATGCAGAAAAACAAAATATACAATTGGAGGTGTGTAAAATTATTATATTATTAGAAGATAGCATCACGAGGAAGTTGAACTAATCGATCATGAACTCACTACAGGCCATGAGAGGTGGTAGAATAATAAAGATATCGATATTTGAAATTGTTGTTGGTGATGTACTGCCCCTTAAAATAGGAGATCAGGTGAATTTGTATAAATCTCATTTTGTTTCTCTGGTAATTGAATCATGTTCATTCTATGTTAATTACTTTATTGATATCTCAGGTTCCTGCTGATGGGGTTTTAATTACTGGTCACTCACTTGCCATTGATGAATCCAGTATGACTGGGGAAAGCAAGATTGTATGTTGTTCATATATTCTATTGATCTAATTATAGTATTTAATCTTTATTGAATTGTGTTAAAATACAAAAGACTACGAGACATTTGAATAAACAGTGTGTTTTGAAAAGCACTACGGAGACATTATTATATATAGATAAATTACAACTAATTACATGATATAGTCGATGTGAGACTATTCTATATACAAATATTCTTAACACTGTATATTTATAAATATCAACACTCCCCCTCAAGTTTGAGCATATAAGTCAAATGCACCAAGTTTGTTACATATATAATTAGTTCTGGGGCTTCGTAGGAATTTTATAAACACATCTGCCCATTGATCATTAGAGTTGACAAAACTTGTGACGATGTCGCCTGACTCGATCTTCTCTCTGACAAAGTGACAGTCTATCTCAATATGTTTGGTCCTCTCATGGAAGACTGGATTTGAAGCAATGTGCAATGCAACTTGATTATCACAAATAAGTGTCATTGGTCTTGCTTCTTCAATTTGAAGTTTCTTGAGCAACTGTTTTAACCAAATAAGATCACATGTTGCCATTGTCATGACCCTATACTCTGCCTCGGCGCTTGATTTTGCAACTACATTTTGTTTTTTACTTTTCCAGGATATAAGGTTTCCTCCAACAAGTACACAATACTCAGAGGTGGATCGTCTATCAATGGGTGACCTTGCCCAATCAGCATCGGAGTATCCAATTATCTGGTTATGTCCTTTATCCTCATACACAAGACCTTTTTCTGGAACGCATTTGATGTATCTCAGAATCCAGATAACAACATCCATGTGTTTCTGTTAAGGGGAATTTAAGAACTGACTTACCACACTGACTGCAAAAGAAATGTCCGTACGAGTGACTGTGAGATAATTCAACTTTCCAACCAATCTCCTATACCTTCCTGAGTCAGATAGAGGCTCCCCCTGATTAGGTAGTAGTTTAACACTTGGATCCACATGAGTATTGACTGGTTTAGCATTTAACAAACCTGTTTCTTCCAAAATATCCATAGCATATTTCCGCTGAGAAATCACCAAACCATCTTTAGAATGAGCTACTTCAATACCTAAAAAATAGCGGAGCTTACCAAGATCTTTTGTATGAAATTGTTTTGAGAGATGTTGTTTCAACTGGAGTATTCCCTGCTGATCACTACCAGTTATGACAATGTCATCCATATACACAATAAGATAAATACACCCTTGGGGTGAGTGATGATAAAAAACAGAATGGTCAGCTTCACTACGGATCATACCAAATTGTTGTACTACAGTGCTGAATTTGCCAAACCAAGCTCTCGGAGATTGCTTAAGACCATAAAGAGACCTGTGTAGCCTACAAACCATATTCGATGACTCCCCCTGAGCAACAAACCCAGGTGGTTGCTCCATATATACTTCTCTTCAAGATCACCATGTAAGAAATGCATTTTTGATGTCAAGTTGATGAAGAGACCAATGTCGAATGGCTGCAATGGCTAGAAGAAGTCTAATAGATGCCATCTTGGCTACAGAAGAAAAGGTATCACTATAATCCAACCCAAAAATCTGAGTGTATCCTTTGGATACCAAGCGAGCTTTAAATCGATCAATCTTACCATCTGGACCAACCTTCACTGTATAAAGCCAACGACAACTTACTAAAGATTTCCCATGGTGTAGAGGAACCAGTTCTCAGGTACCACTGCTTTGAAGAGCACACATTTCATTAATCATTGCTTGCCTCCACTCAAGGTGAGATAATGCTTCACTTGGAGTTTTAGGAATAGAAACAGAAGACAAAGAAAACAAACAAGTATACTGCAAAGGGGAAAGACGATGATGACATAAATCAATATAATGTGGAGAAGGATTTCGTGTTTGACGTAAACCTTTTCGAAGGGCAATCGAAAGATCAGACTCAGGTTGCAGGATCGGATTCGGTGATGGCGAGAGCATCAGAGGAGAGTCCGTAGTGACCTCAGGGACAAGTACGACTTCAGGGACAGGTACGACTGACGTTGGGTGACGACGCTGATATGTTTGAAGTGGGCGAGGAGTTGGGGGGGGGGTGTCAACCGTAGGGGTATCTAGTGGGCCAGGTTCCCTAGAATGATGGGGGATAATGATAGATGAGACTTCCAGAAGAGGTGTGAGAATACTTTCCTGTAGAGGTTCCGTAGTTACTTGGCTAGACTCGAAATATGGAACAGACTCAAAGAAGGTAACAACGGCCGATATGAGGTATCGTTGTATAGTATGTGAGTAGCAACGATAACACTTTTGGGATCGATGATAGCCAAGAAAGACATACTTTAGTGATCGAGCTGATAGTTTATCAAGACCAGGAGAGAGATTGTGTACAAAACACATAGACCTAAAGACTCGAGGAGGAATTGGGTGGAGTGGAGAGTTTGGAAACAAGATTGAATGCAGGATTTTATTATTAAGAACAAATGAAGGCATACGATTTATGAGGTAACATGCCATGAGCACCGCATCTCCCCAAAATCGGAGAGGAACATTACCATGGAGAAGTAGGGTCTGAGTGGTTTCTACGAGGTGCCGATTTTTGCGTTCGGCTACCCCGTTTTGTTGGGGTGTATGAGGGCAAAATGTTTGGTGCAAAATACCATTGGATAACATAAATGTTTGAAATTGTTGGGATAAATATTCATGTGCATTGTCACTTCTTAAGGTACGAATAGGCAAACCAAATTGGGTTCTTATTTCTCAATAAAATTGTTCAAAAATGAAAAACAATTCAGATCTATTCTTCATTAAAAATAACCACGTGTAATGTGAAAAATCATCAATAAAAGTGACAAAGTACCTAGACTCAAGAGTAGAGACAATACGCGAGGGACCCTAAACATCGGTGTGAACTAAAGCAAAAGGGGATGAAGCTCGTTTGTTGACTTGATTGGGAAATTGACTACGAGTGTGTTTCCCTAACTGGCACGACTCACAATGTAAATTAAATACCTTCGATAAATTTGACACCAACTTATGTAATTTGGAAAGACTGAGATGACTTAACTGATCATGGATAGTGAGTGGTAATAGAGTTTTGTAAGAGGAACATATTCAGGAAGGAGAGTGTTGTATATGATTGAATCTCCAATGAATGAATACACTGTTATGCTTTATATAGATAAAGCTTAGCATAACAGAAAGTAAAGCTTAGCATAACTAACTCTAACAGTTAGTTATGACTGATAACAAAATTATATTAAATGCTGCCAGGTCAGCATTTCTAGACTATTCTAGTTTATGCTTATACTCTAATATTTCCCCTTCAAATGCTACTACTCTGAGAGAGTCATTTGCATCCTTGAAGTAAGGATTTGTCCACAACCTTCAGGTGACCTTTGAGTGTGAGAAATCTGAGAGCTGAGAGAGGTTTAGTTAGAATGTCTGCTGTTTGTGAAACAACTGAAATATGCTTTGCAACCAAGGTGTGGTTAAGCACCTTTTCCCTTAGGAAGATGTCCAATTCCATATGCTTAGTTTTAGCATGCATAACAGGTTATGTGAGAGAGCCACAGTGCTTAAGTTGTCACAAAGCAGAAGAGGAGTTTGAGATGGGATCTTCAGTTCTGCTAGGAGAGACTTGATCCACAAAACCTCTGCAGCAGTACTAGCTAAACTCCTGTATTCTGCTTATGTGCCGGATCTGGCTATTAGGGTTTGCTTCTTGGACCACCATGAGACCAAATTAGAACCAATGAAGATACATGACCCCGATGTAGATTTCCTATCATCAGGGTCAAAGCCCCAATCAGCATCAGAATAAGCTGTGATGGAAACAAAAGGGGAGGAAGTGTAAGGTGACATTTGCAGACCATGATGAAGTGTGCCTCTGAGACCTGAGTATTCTCTTGACTGCTACCCAGCGGCTTTGCATTGGTTGAGACAAAAACTGACAGACTTTGTTGACAACAAAGTTGATTTCTGGCCTGGTAATTGTTGCATATTGTAAGGCCCTTACTACAGATCTGTAGTAAGAAGGATCTGGAAGGTAATCTGACCCTTCCTTAGTTAGTTTAAGATTTGAAACCATAGGAGTGAGCAAGCTCTTTGCTTCACTCATGTTGTTCTTGACTAAGAGATCTCTCACATATTTGGTTTGAGGGAGAAAAAGACCCCCTTGAGGTGTTTTGGAGACTTCAATGCCTAGAAAGTAGCTTAAGTCACCTAGCTGTTTGAGAGAAAACTGATTATGAAGTTTGGTAACTAGACTTTAAATTTGAGTAGGAGAGCTTCCAGTGACAATGATGTCATCTACATATACTAGCATAAAAGTAGTATAGGTAGAGGTGGATAAAATGAATAGGGAGGGGTCACATTTACTTGTCACAAACCCAAGTGAATGGAGAGCACCTATAAGTCTTTCAAACCATACCCTAGGAGCCTGTTTTAAACCATATATGGCTTTGTTTAGTTTGCAAACAGAGGTGGAATCAGTGTGAACAAAACCAGGGGGTTGTTGCATATAGACTTCCTCAGTGAGAATGTCATTTAAGAAGGCATTGTTCACATCTAATTGAGTGATTTACCACTGCCTAGTTAGGGCTATAGAGAGCACCACCCTGACTGTGACAGGTTTGACCACAGGGGAGAAAGTTTCCTGAAAATCAAAACCTTGAACTTGATGAAGCCCTTTTGCAACCAGTCTGGCTTTATACTTAAGGACAGACCCATCAGGATTTTGTTTGATCCTAAAAACCGATTTGCATCTTATTGCCTTTCTACCAGGAGAAAGAGTAGTGAGAGTCCATGTTTGATTTTGTAACAGGGCATTGTACTCAGCAGTCATGGCCTCTAACCATTTTGGATCTTTGAGAGCCATTTTATAGGAGGTAGGTTCTAGTTCAGTTAATAGGAGAGTAGGGTGAAATCTAGGCTGGACAATACCAGCCTTGGACCTAGTGATCATAGAATGAGTGTTTCGAGGAGAGGTAGGGTGAACAGGCAAATGTTCAGAACTAGAGGCTGATAATGGACTTGTTGAGGAAGAGCCATGAAGAGGGTTGGATAGTGAGGTATGAGGAGATACTTGTGTAGGAGATGAATGGTACACAGAAGTGAGAATGTTGATAGGTATTGCAGTAAGAGGCATAGGTTGAGGCAAATTAGAAGATGATTGTGTAATTGAAATAGGTGTAGAGAAGAAAAGAGGAATTGGGACAAATAAGGTAGGTAAAGGAGAGGTTGAGGTTGCAAACTTGGACAGTGTATGCATATATGGAAACCTGGACTCATTGAAAACAACATCCTTTGATATATACACCCTTCCATCAGAGGCCATACACTTGTAGCCTTTGTGATGGGGAGAGAATCCAAGAAATACACATTCCTTGGTATGAAAGTTAAATTTGTGAGGGCTGTATGGTCTGAGATAAGGAAAACGAGCACAGCCAAAAGCTCTAAGTGTCATATAATCAGGTGCAACATTATATAGCAAATGATAGGGAGATTGCATAGATAAAACAGGAGTAGGCATTCTGTTAATTAGGAAAGCTGTTGCCTGAAAGGCATAGTCCCAAAATTTTAGAGATAGAGATGCTTGTGCTCATAGTGTGAGACATGTTTCCACAACATGTCTATGTTTCCTCTCAACAACACCATTTTGATGGTGAGTGTGAGGACAGGTAAATTTGTGTGTGATGCCTTGTGCAGCCAGAATAGAAGTGAGAGGTTGAAACTCTCCACCTCCATCAGTTTGTAAGGCTTTGAGTGTGTGCTTGAATTGTGTTGTAATGTGAGCCAAGAATAACTTGAAGATAGATGTTACCTCAGATTTTTGAGTCATTAAAAATACCCAAGTAAACTTCGTAAAGGCATCAACCACAGTTAGCATGTATTTGGATCCAGCAACAGATACTACTGGTGAAGGACCCCACACATCTGCATAAAGTAATTCAAAGGGAGCATGATATTGTGTAGTGGATGTGTGTGAAGGCAATCTGGTGAAGGACCCCACACATCTGCATAAAGTAATTCAAAGGGAGCATGATATTGTGTAGTGGATGTGTGTGAAGGTAATCTCTGCACTTTTCCCAAACAACAAGCAGAGCCAAAATCCAATTGAGATTTAACTGGTATAGGAATATTACAACTCTTAAGAACAGTTTTGAGGACCACATGATGAGGATGCCCCAACCTATTATGCCACTGTGAATACGGAGAAAGTCCTATTCCAGACATGTTATTCTGACTAGTAGTTAAGGAAACAATAGGTACATGAAGTTTGGTGTGCGTGCATAGTTAGTGATTTATTAGTGGAGCTGACAGTAGGTGTGAGGTTGCCAAATGTATAGGCCCATCCTTCCCAAGAGTGCCTTGCAGTAGGACTTCAGAAGTAGCCTGGGATTTGACATTACAGTGATTAGGATGAAACTAAAAAAATACCTTATTGTCTCTTGCAAACTGACTCACAGATATCAGATTTTTCGTAATTTGTGGCACTAATAAGAGATTATTTAAGGCAAGTGTAGTATCATGTGGTTTGTGTGCAGATGTGAAGGAAGTGTTACCAACTGATGTAATTGACAGACCTTGACCATTGCCAAGCATAACTTGGTCTGAGCCAGAGGTAGGAATGCTATCCAAAAAATGATCTGCAGAATTGGTGACATGATGAGTTGCTCCTGAATCTGCATACCACTGATTGTTGCCAGCTAAAGATTGAATATTTGTGCCTGCAAGAAAGGCCTGAGGTTGTTTGCTGTCAGATGCAGTGCTAGAAGGCGTAGCAAGAAATCCTTGCGCAGGACCACGCCATTGAGTGGGAGGCATCCATTGATGAGGTATTTGGACCAGCAAGATTGCCTTGAAAGTAGGGCACAACAAAATTAGCCATTGGGACGGGAGCCAAAGCTGGAGCACACCATTGCTGAGATCCAGAACCAGCAACTGAAAGCCTGAAGTAGTAGACCTTTGCATCGTGGCCAATTTTAGCACAAATCTGACATTGCACCTTGGATCTACCACTGTTGCGACCACCACCGCGTGCGAACCGGCCACTACGACCACCACGATTGCTGTGAAACTGAGTTTACGCCGTCGCGACACTGTTTTGCACCGTCGCATCAGAAACCTGGGACGATTGCGCTTCTGGTGATGATTGTGAGATAGATCCTTGCGTTAGGTTAACGGTTAGGGCATCGTGTGTAGCTACACGTGTGGATCTTTCTAAACGAGCTTCATGAGAGAGAAGCATCGTCTCTGCAACCACAATTTCACAAGGCTGATCACGATATTGAATAATGGAGGCTAGAGCTTGATATTCTTGAGGCAATCCATCCACGATAGTTTCAAGATGATCACGATGTGAAACTGGATCACCAATGGATTCAAGAATGTCAACAATTTGTTGGATACGCCCTAAGTTCTGAGCTAAAGTTCTGTCACCTTTCTCCATGGTGCGCAACTCAAACCTTAACTGTCGTGACTTAGCATACACTTGAGTTCTCTGAAATTGATCTATGACAGTCCATACCTCATGAGCATGAACACACCTCACGACACGAGGAAGAACAACATCAGAGAGAGTAGTGAGGAGCCACGTGAAGAGGAGAGAATCCTCTTGATGCCACTGCACATATGCAGGATTTTCCAGATCTGAAGCACGATCGTTGGTGGAGAGATATCTAGGAGGAATATTAGGATTTGCAAGGTGACAATGAAGTTTGTGAATGCGAATTATTCCTTCTACTTGCTGCTTCCAAGAGAGGAAGTTGTTGTTATCAAGCTTGATGGTGATGTGTTGCCCAAACGTTTTGAACGCATTCTTCAGATTTGAAGCTGCTGTGTTAGATGTTGAAGAAGACGGTGTACTACTTCCCGGAGTTGGAGGATCCGTGAAGAATGGTGGAGGATTAGAGACGAAAGTCACGACTGTGATGAATCACAAGCTCATGATACCATAATAGAGTTTTGTAAGAGGAGCATATTCAGGAAGGAGAGTGTTGTATATGATTGAATCTCAAATGAATGAATACATTGTTATGCTTTATATAGATAAAGCTTAACATAACAGAAAGTACAACTCAGGACAACTAACTCTAACAGTTAGTTATGACTGATAACAAAATTATATTAAATGCTGCCAGGTCAGCATTTCTAGACTATTCTATTTTATGCTTATACTCTAATAAGTGGAGAATCTTTGGCTGAGCATGTATGAGATGACAATAAGAGGTAGTAAAGACCTTAAGACTCATCCGACGCCAATCGTCTTTCCTGAACTCCGATCCTGCAGGGTAACATTATTGTTAGTGAAAGTGATACTAAAATCAAGAGAACGAGTTAAACGACTGACTGAAAGTAAATTAAATGGACAATTAGGTACATAGAGGACAAAAGTAACAAATAGAGAAGGAAGAATTTGAACAGTACCAATCCCTTCGGATCGGGTTTGAGGACTATTGGCAGAAGTTATAGTAGGTAAGAAACCAGAGAGGGAAGAGAACGAATTTTTATTACCAGTAACATGATCAGACGCACCAGAATCAAGGACGCAAGGTCGAAGAGAAGATGATTGAGAGAGGCAAACAGATGAACTACCAGTGTGTGCTACCGTAGTAGTAGAATCTGAGTTCTGATAATTCTGATACCACCTGAGGAAATCATTGTAGTTTGGCGTAAAGTTCTGAGGAGTAGCCATGAGTATCTGAAGAGAGAAAATATCACGCGATCGGTCTCCGGACGTGCTGTCACATGCGGTTCAGGTGGCGGCGCGTGAAGCCCATGCGCGGAGACGGAGGTGGCGCGTGCGGAGGTTTCTGCTGATGAAAAAGTTTGCCGGAAGGTCTCCGAGAATGGTAGTGACGGCGGCGGCTATGCGGTTATGTCCGGAGTATGTTGAAAACTGATGGTGGGGTCGGCTTCCCGAAATGTCACCAGAAGTTTTTCCTGAACAGTAACAGCGGCAGTGGCGGCAGGTTGGTCACCGGAGAATTTTGAAAAGTGAGGCAAACCGGAGTGACAACACGGTTTGTAAAAAAAAGTTAAAAAAAATTTCTCACCGGAAGACAGTGGGTCAACCGGATAAAGCACGGCGAAAAAAGAATTGCCTCTTAGCAGGCTCTATATACCATGTTAAAATACAAGAGACTAAGAGACATTTGAATAAACCATGTGTTTTGAAAAGCACTACGGAAACATTATTATATATAGATAGATTACAACTAATTATATGATATAGTCGATGTGAGACTATTTGATATACAAATATTCTTAGCACAATATATATTTACAAATATCAACAAATTGTAAGCTAACAAGTATCCTGCAGGTTCACAAGGATCAAAAAGCACCATTTTTAATGTCGGGTTGCAAAGTAGCAGATGGAGTTGGTTCTATGCTGGTAATATATGAAACTATATTGTTTCTACTAGTCGGCTTGTTATTTGATGAGCAACTGCTTGATTGTTTTCAAAATGTTTGAATATTATAGTGTAAAAGGTTTCCCACTTATGAAGTTTGTTGCTGCATTCTGCTCTTTAGCTGCATGAATGCTAATATTTTCTATAGTAGTGTATGTTTAAACATTACTTACTACATGACATCATGGTGTCATTTGGTTTATGTGATTGACTCTTAATTGGCGGGAAAAGACATAGTTATTGTTTTTATGATATTTATACACATGCAAAAAGATTCTCTTACAATGCTTCGACCCTACACATTTTATGCTTCCATCTGTAGGTAACTAGTGTTGGTATAAATACTGAGTGGGGATTGTTGATGGCAACTATCTCAGAAGATACCGGAGAAGAGACTCCCTTACAGGTTTCCCCTTCCCTATCCAAAACAGAGAAGGAAAATGATGTTGCTTTGACTCCTTAAAGAAACTTACATCACTTATGTGTTAAAACTTGTTTTTGTTGGTATGTAATAGGTACGGTTGAATGGAGTAGCAACTTTTATTGGTATTGTTGGGCTTACTGTAGCTGCAGCTGTTCTTGCAGTCCTCTTGGGAAGGTAAAAATAGATTGCTCTTTTGAACGTACTAAGTTATTAATGCAAGCTCGATGCCAACTTTGATTAGCTGTGTTTTGACTTTGGAATGTTAGATACTTTACTGGCCACACGAAAGATTTAGATGGAAAAGTGCAATTTGTTGCTGGAGAGACTAAAATCAGTGATGCTGTTGACGCATGCATCAAAATTTTTACCATTGCAGTAAGTGCGAATTCAAACTTTTGTTTTTTACATTGTTTTTTCTTCTTTAATTTTTTGTAATAGTTTTTCTCAACTAAATATAGAGCCGCGCAGGTAACAATTGTGGTTGTTGCAGTGCCAGAAGGTCTACCTTTAGCAGTTACCTTAACGTGAGTACATGTTGCTAGTTTATTTTGTTGTACAACACAAGATGTAGCAAAAACTAAGCTGACTGGTGTCGTTTGTTCTGTTCTATGTTATTTACAACTCTCAAACACTCTCTTGACAGCCTGGCATACTCTATGCGGAAGATGATGGCAGACAAAGCCTTGGTAAGTATCTTATTATCCTCTCTTAGAATTTGGGTTGGTTTAACTCAACCTTACAAAACCGGTTTGTAAGGTGAGGATTGTCCCAATTATAAACATATTTTCAGGCCATATCTCATCCGATGTGGGGCGTTTTAACATCCTCCAACAGTCACCCCAATATTCTTGTAACTTTTGCAGCAATTTGTCATATTTAGCGTTAAAACGAATTCTAACAATGGTACAGGTGCGAAGGCTGTCAGCTTGCGAAACTATGGGTTCTGCTACGACAATTTGCAGTGATAAAACTGGAACCTTGACCTTAAACCAGGTGGGTTCCCTGATCAAATTATTGGATAGTCTAAGAGGAGTTGGATTTAGATTTTTGCTTGTGAACAAATGCTTCAAAAGTTAGTTCATTGACACAGCTCACGTTGGTATTGGATTTTGTTGAAATAGAGTGAAAATGAGAGAGACTTGTGGCCAAATAGTATGTCTGAACTACACAACAAAGTCGATTTAATATATAGGCTCCAAGTAAAAATTAAAATAAATAAACATAGGCGATACTATTGCTATAAACATGATATGATAAGCCTGTACACTAAATACAAAAATCGGAGTAGATTTTTCAACATATACATTCTTGATTGATCATCTCTTCTCTCTAAACTTTTCAGCTAACATGTGGTCCACTTCATGTTTTTGTCGGGTAACCAATTCATATGATTTGGATTTTTTAGATCTCCGAAAAATTTACATTGTAACTATGCAAAGATTAATGCCATGAGATCGTTTGTTTTATTTACGTTTGCAAATACTGGGCTGCTATATGGCCGGGAGAAGCATACATTATGTATTTAAGTATAATATGGAGAAATAGATATGAAACTCATAACAGATCAGCTGGTCAAGAATAGATTCAATTACTTGATAGACACTAGAGGTTCAAGCTCATAGGTAATATAAGAGAATGATGGCATAGTAAAGAATTGTGATAGAACCCGTAAAATCAAGATAAAAAAACTGTATTCTATTGAATGTAAAAGTTGAGCTCAAGAGCTCTACAATGCCAATGCTAGAAATGAAAAAATGAAATGATAAACGAGAGTTCTATGAACTCCTATTCAGCTAGGCTCCTAAATCAAAGAGAATTCTATAGTAACTGTTTTCTAACAAACTTTCTCAATGCCTTCTCTAATCTCTTTCCCTCTCTTTTATAACAGAATATTCCCTAAGATTAAGGAAATATCCTAACTAATTCTTATTAGACTAAGGATCCTATCAGATTGAAACTCACCTAATGCCGAATAATCTACAAGCTAGTTACCAATATCCATAATTTTGGTACATGCATAATCTATCTAATAGGTTTACTAGCTATTTGTTATTCTTCTGAACTCCTTGGTCTTTGCTGTATGCATTCTTCCTTTCATATACTTAGAATCCTTGAGTTATCAGGATGTGACTGTGGCTTATTTTTTGGAATTGTAGATGACTGTAGTTGAGACATATGTTGGGAGGAATAAATTAAATCCACCAGATGACTCATCAAAATTGCATCCAGAAGTTTTATCTTTGATAAATGAAGGCATAGCGCAAAACACAACTGGCAATATTTTCGTTCCTAAGGTACGGCTTGCTTTTCTACTTAATTTCAATTTAACAACTATGTATCTAAGGTTCCCTTTATGTTGTGATATTTGGCTATAGATTACCCCAATTAAGGATCTTGTCTTAGTCCAACACTAACAGTTTCTTATGGTTTGGTCGGATTTATATTTGAGAATCTTGATTCTTATGATTTTTATTCACGAATTTTTGAATCATAGTATTACTAGAATTGCTCTTTGTGACCATGTATTCTTTGGTAGGATGGTGGAGAGACAGAGGTTTCAGGATCTCCTACAGAGAAGGCAATTCTATCTTGGGCTACGAAGGTACCCTCCTTGATCTATTTCCTTTACTTGTTCCTTTATTTTTTTATGTTCTTCTCTCTTCCTTGATTAATATATTGATTTTGAAGCTAAACTTATCGAGTCCTCATGGCAGTTGGGAATGAATTTTGAACTTATAAGATCAAGTTCAAAGGTTCTCCACGTCTTCCCTTTTAATTCTGAGAAGAAGCGAGGTGGCGTTGCTGTGAAACGGGTAACCACTTGATAAAGTTGTTTACCAACTCATCCTTTGATTTAATGTATTCTATAACTTTTTTTAACACACACACACACACTGTTGTAACATATGCTAAACAGAAACACTTGTTGTAATCATGGCAGGCGGACTCTGGAGTGCATATACATTGGAAAGGAGCTGCTGAGATAGTTCTAGGAACGTGTACCCAATATATTGATTCAAATGGTCACCCGCAATCTATTGAAGAAGAGAAGGTTAGGAATAGCAGCTTCAAGACATAGAAAGTTTGTTGAGGGCATTAAAATCATTGAACTGAGCAAATGGAAATATGAAAAACATTTTCTTTTGGTTGATAGCTAACCCAAATTTGAACGCCGATGCACAAGGCTGCTACCTAATCACTTTATTCATATCAATTAGTTTATATTATTGTGTCAAGTTACTCTGATCGAATGCAACTATATCAGTATTACTTTCATTTTAACTAAAATATTGCAACTGATAGCAATTCATAATATTTTCAGCATTTTCCTACATGCGTAATATTCATTTAAAATCTTCAGGCATTCTTCAAGAACGCAATTGATGACATGGCTACTCAGAGCTTGCGCTGCGTTGCTATTGCATACAGATCATACGAATTGGACAAAATTCCATCCAAGGAGGAGGATTTAGACCAATGGACCTTACCCGAACACGAGCTTGTATTACTTGCTATTGTTGGAATAAAGGTAAAACAGGAGTCTTTTTCCACTTGAAATGTGTTACAAATCCCCACCACCCACCCCATATCTTGCAACTTTCTGAATAATCTAGTCATGAACCGTGATAGTAGGTAGATACTAATTTACCTTTAAATATCACAAATATCACTAATTTACCTTTAGTCATGAACACGAGCTTGTATTACTTGCTATTGTTGGAATAAAGGTAAAACAGGAGTCTTTTTCCACTTGAACCGTGATACTAATTTGTTCTTTAGTTCCGAATATGGTGCAGTGTTGTTAAATATCATGCTCTGATTGCTGTCCTTATATTTTCAAATTAACCTCTTTTTTTGATAAAATTTCAAAATAACCCTGTATAAGACGCTGTAAGATCCAAATTATTCCTTCTAACATACGTTTATATGAATGTTCAGGATCCTTGTCGCCCTGGAGTCAAAGATGCTGTAAGATTATGTACTGAGGCTGGTGTTAAGGTAAAGTTTTCATATTGATCGAATCAAACAACTAGATATCATAATATTAGATTGCAGTTCATTGAAAGCATTAAGGACAGTGTTGGAACTTGGCCTTTGACTTCATAACTTGGACAAGTGTTTCTCCAAAATGTAAAATCAAGGGATCCCAACACGCATGTGTGAACTGTGAATCAATAGGTACGCATGGTTACTGGGGACAATCTTCAAACAGCAAAAGCAATAGCTTTAGAGTGCGGAATACTGGTTTCACTTGAAGATGCCGTTGAGCCAAATATAATTGAAGGAAAGACATTCCGTCAACTATCTGAAATGGAAAGGGAACAAGTTGCTAAGAAAATAACTGTATGATTCTTTCATTTTGATTTCTCGTTAGCGTTACTTATCTCTCAGGTTTGATTTGATTGTATGTGCTTTTGATTTGCAAAATGTATATAGGTGATGGGAAGATCATCTCCAAATGACAAGCTTTTGCTCGTGCAAGCACTGCGCAAAGAAGGTGAAGTTGTTGCTGTCACAGGAGATGGCACTAATGATGCTCCTGCTCTTCATGAGGTCTGTATATTTCTTGGATGCACATCATTCAGATTGAAAATTTCAAAGATTAAATACATTATTTGACACTAGTATAAAGAAATATTACAATTTTTTCAATTTTTTTACTAATTTATTTTGTTGACTTGATTATTATTTTTATGGTTAAAAATACAATGTTTTTTTTTTTAAAGATTATATTTTAATTTTATTCAATTTTGATTCTTAAATCCTATATTTTTAACAAAATAGTGTTAACCACTGGGCCTCTAGAGCTGAAGCTGAGTAACTGAAGAGGCTTTACCCTGAGGGAAAACTATCGAGTATCGACCGAGTTATTTGAAGAAAAAACATACTACTCAGAGACTTCAACCTACGGGGAAGCCTAATTGTCTGCCAAGTGAGTCATGAAAAAGTACATGTTAGCTCAAAATAAGCTAAATGAAGACATGCCTATATAGCAAAGCCTTATGGATTTTGTTGAAGTCATGGTGTTATGCTCACTCTTAACTGTTTGTTGCTTGACCCATTACTCGACAGATTATGTAAAGTATAGAGGTGAGGCTAATGTTGCACATGTGACTCAAACTTGGGTTATGACAGTAGACTTGGCGTATTAGTGAGAGGGACTAGAGATCCTTGTAACCAGGAACAACACACAAACACCAAAGGCACAACGACATGCAATGAAAACTGATAAGGACATGTAAAGCAAAAGTACCTTCATTTTATGAATAATTTGTGTTTGTTGCAGAGACCAAAAAGTCTACTTACCTTGGATCTCGAAGGTACAAGTTTAATTAGCGATTTGAGACCTTGTAGTTAATAAAAAAGATTTTAAGAAGTAGAAATGTCATATTTCTTGAGGGGCTATTAGAAAAAACCCAAATCCCACACTGATTAAAAATAGACCTTGAAATAAATTTATAAAGAGTGATACCGCTCACCTTAAAATGTTGGTTTTGTAAGACCGAGTTAGGCCAAACACAAATCCTAAGATGGTAATAGAACCTATCAATCAGGTTAGCCACCATTTATTCCATGCACCACGACCAATAATGTTGGCGTGAAGGGGTATATTGGGAAAAAGCAAGTTCAACATTGGTTAAAGACAAAATCTAAAAAGAGTTTATAAAGAGCAACACCCTTTACCTTATAAGCCAGTTTTGTGCTATGATGATTTAGGGGGACAAGCAATCAAGACCCATCATAATGAAGCCGATGATCTATTCAGGCACAAGTTCAAGTTGGTCGGTAGAACACAAATTCTAAGATGATATTAGAGCATATCAATCGGGTCACCCACCATTTATTCCACGCACTAAGCTAAATAATGCTGTCGTGAATGGGTATATTGAGAAAAACGTGAGTTCCACATTGATTAACGATAGAGTCTAAAAAGAGTTTATTAAGAGCGACACTTCTCACTTTATAAGCCGGTTTTGTGCCATGATGATTTAGGGGGACAACCAGTCAAGACCAATCATAATGAAGCCGATGATGTATTCAGACACAAGTTCACGTTGTTTGGTAGAGCAATCAACAAAGACTAATAATACACAACTATTATGGAAAACCTATTAGATAACCTCAACTACGACAAACCTATTAGATAACCTCAACTGCGAAGATAAACCAAACAGAGACACCCATCTACTAGATAATTTTCAATGAAAATGTAATACTAAAAAAATAAGGGAACCTCAAAACTATGGAAAAGGTATGTCTAACAATGATATGGAAGAATGAGTGATCTCTATGCAAGATGAGATGCAATATCTGCATAAGAATCATACATATGATCTCATTGAGCTGCTAAAAAAGGGTGACGGGCCTTGAAAAAAAATTGGGTGTATTGACTCAAATCAAAAGAGAGTAGCACGAGGTTGGTGTATAAGGCTTCAATTATTCAAATGATGCAAGGAAAATAAAAACATTGGTTTTGAAGAGATATTTTATTTCTTAGTGTATGGCCATAAAGAGATAGACAAGCATTTCTATTATAAAGGTCAACCAAATCATATACTTGATGAGGAATAAATTATAAATTCATGTTACAATAGAACTATATTAGGAAATTTTTATTACAAAAAATACTCATACCAACGAGATTCAAACATCACTTCATTCAAATTCAAATATACGTAGACATGCTAAAATAAAAATCATCAAATTACTTAAGTCGGGCTCACAAATTTTCTACAATTATACTTTTGTTTTTATTATAGTTGATATCTTATTTTACTATTTTGCATTTTAGGCAGATATTGGTCTTTCTATGGGCATCCAAGGAACTGAAGTAGCAAAAGAAAGCTCGGATATTATAATCCTGGATGATAACTTTGCATCAGTAGTAAAGGTAAATAGTTATTCAGTTTAGCATCAGTAGTAAAGTCATTTTTTCTGGTGTCTGCGAACATGTCTTCACATGCACAAGTAAAAAGTCACGAGCATTTCATTTGCAGTTGTTTCTCTACCTTTACTCTTAACGTTAATTGGGAAAAATAAGAAAACAGATTTTTGTGATTATGCTTGAATCAGTAAAGCAAATTGAAAACCATGATATATTTATATACACTTCCTAATTAATTACATGTTTATTAGGAGAAATGATTACAAGTGCAGCTTCCTAAACTTCCTAAGTACATCAATCTAAACATACACGAACCTAAGACTTATATGCACCTATTTCAAATAGGAAGCATACATGAATCTTTTTATTTCCAATACTACCTCTCAACTTAGTAAATAGGTGTTCTCCGTTCCTTGCTTGGATAGAATTCGTTCAAAATCTGAGCTCTACTCAATCCTTTTGTGATAATATTTGCAAGTTGACATACAAAGTGCAAGTCAGCCCACTAACCGAGCTTCCCCTTTATAAAGTATCTATCAACCTGTATATGCTTAGTTTGATGATGCTGAACTAGATTATGTCTGATAGAGTTTGATAAAGTGAAGAGAGAATGAATAGATTGAAATCTCATATTGTATTGAATGAATAGAATAATACAAGGGACTCTCTATTTATAGAGAGAGTAAGGAAAGACTAGATCTAACAAACTAACTGAATGCTGTAACAGAATGACAGCTCAGCAAGATCTAACTAACTAACTGAATGCTGTAACAGAATGATAGCTCAGCAAGATCTAACTAACTGATACAAAATGCTAACTACTCTATTAGTCCCCCGTAGAAGCTGATGGTGATTTGAACAAGTCAGTCTTGTTGAACACCTTTAGTTTTGCTCTGAGAGGAACAAATTTTACAGCAGAAAGAGGTTTTGTTAGAATGTCTGCCCACTGGTCTTGAGCTGGGACATGAACCACAGGCAAGCTTTTGCTGAGGACTTTTTCACGCACAAAGAAGATGTCAAGCTCCATATGTTTAGTTCTATTGTGAAGAACAGGATTGTGGGCAAGAGTAACATTGCTTAAGTTGTCACACAGGATCTTAGGCACTTTGAAAGAACAGTGGAGTTCCTTAAATTAGGACTGTATCCATATTAATTCAGCAGCTAACTGAGCCATACTCCGATACTCTGCCTCAGCACTTGATCTTGCTACAAGTTGCTGCTTCTTGGACCACCATGAGACAACATTTGGACCAAGAAAAACACATGCCCTTGAAGTTGACCTTCTGTCATCTGGGTCTGTGGCCCAGTCAGCATCACAAAAACCTAGCAACTGCATAGGTTGTTGAATAGCAGCAGGTTGCAGAACAAACCATGTTGAAGAGTGCCACTCAAATACCGTAATATTCGCTTGACTGCCTTCCAATGTTCTTCTAAGGGATTGGACAAAAACTGACACACTTTATTAACAGAGAATGATATTTCAGGTCTGGTCAGTGTGGCATACTGCAAGGCACCAACAACTGATTTAAACTGAGTTGGATCAGCAACATTGTCAGAACCAACCTTTGACAATTTGCTGCTAGACACCATTGGAGTGGGCATACCATTGGCATTTAGCATATTCACCTTTGAGAGCAGATCAGTAAGATATTTGGTTTGAGATAACAACAATGATCCATTAGGCAAATGAGACACTTCAATACCCAGAAAATAATCCAGCTGTCCCAACTGTTTGAGTGAAAACTTGTCATTAAGTTGCTTGATCAAGGAGTGAATGAATGAGGCAGAATTCCCTGTGATGATGATATCATCAACATACACAAGAATCATGATCTGAAGTTTTCCTTGATGCAGCAGAAACAGGCTGGGATCACATCTACTAGCCTGAAACCCATGCTGAATTAGAGCACTCTTGAGTTTGTCAAACCAAGCCCTAGGAGCCTGTTTTAAGCCATAAATGACTTTGTTTAACTTGCAAACAAGAGATTTATCCGTTGATTCAAAACCAGGAGGTTGTTGCATAAAGACCTCCTCCTCAAGAGTACCATTTAGAAATGCATTGTTCACATCAATTTGTTGAATTGCCCAATTATTTGTGACAGCAATGGTTAGCACAACTCTGACTGTGACAGGCTTGATAACTGGGGAGAATGTCTCTTGAAAATCACTTCCAGCCTTTTGATTGAACCCTTTTGCAACTAACCTGGCCTTTATTTATTTATGGATCCATCAGGATTTTCTTTGGTCCTGAAAACCCACTTACAGCCTATAGGCTTTCTAGAATCAGATGCTTTCACTAATGTCCAGGTCTGATTTCTCATCAATGCCTGATATTCATCTTTCATTGCCTGATGCCAATGGGGAGCAGCCAAGGCTTGATCAACCGATGTTGGTTCCATATGGGTCAAGAGAAGTGTGGGATGAAGTCTAGGTTGAATAATACCTCTTTTGGCTCTAGTTTGCATGGAATGCACATTGTGAGGATTAACAAAAGGCTGATTTTGATGAGGAGGGCTGGGAGAAATTGTTTGAGAGGAAGAAGGAGAAATGGTGCTAGCTTCAGCAATATCAGATAGAATTAGAGCAGGAGAACATGGAGGTGAAGTTGAGGCTGAAGTAGCAGGTTGAGAAGTTGAAGATGGAGTAACAGGTTGGTCATGGGCAGACTGCTCATATAAAATAGGAGCAGAACCAGAATTGAGAGTAACAACAGGGGAAGAAGGAGAAGACATGTCAGCATCACTGGAAATATGATTGGCTGCCTGACTGAAACTGGAATTAGTAGAGGAGGAAGGAGTGTCCATTGGACTGGATGCAGGGGAAAGAGATAAAGAAGGGGCAGACCAAGAGGAAGCAATGGGAGATGAGGGGGAAGGGCCAGAATTGGAGGGTTGAGCATGAAACAAAGTTGAATAAGGGAAGTGAGATTCATGGAACACAACATCTTTAGAGATGTAAATATGTCCATCTGCAGCAAGGCACTTGTACCCCTTATGAACTGTAGAGTATCCAAGGAAGATACATTCTTTGGACCTATACGCTAACTTGTGTGAATTGTAGGGACGAAGAAAGGGATTACAAGAGCAGCCAAAAACTTTAAGAGTAGAATAATCAGGAGGCATATTAAGAAGTTTAGAATAAGGTGAACAATTATGAAGTGTGGGACTGGGAAGTCTGTTAATCAAGTAGGCTGCTGTGACAAAGGCATGATCCCAAAATTTCAAAGGAAGGGTAGATTGAGCAAGAAAAGTGAGGCCAGTTTCAACAATGTGCCTATATTTGCGTTCAACTAGACCATTTTGATGATGGGTGTGAGGACAAGTAAGCCTATGAACAGTACCCAATTCTGTAAGATACTTGGTAAATGGCCTGAATTCTCCACCCCATCACTTTGAACACATTTGATGAGACAATTAAACTGCAGTTCCACCATTTTCTTAAACTGAATGAACTGAGTTAAAGTATCAGACTTGAGTCTTAGAGGGAAAACCCAAACAAACCTAGAAAAGGCATCTACACAAGTTAAAAAATATGTGTATCCTCCTGTAGACTTCATAGGCGCAGGACCCCAAAGATCACAAACAACAAGCTCAAAGGGATGAGTATACACAGTGGTAGACAAGGTAGAGGGTAACCTATGTGATTTTCCTAGACAACAAGCATGACACAACTCGGTAGATGGTTTAGGAAGGATAAGGAGATTGCATAGTTTAAAAACCTCTACAAGAGCATGGTGATTAGGGTGCCCTAACCTAGTGTGCCATAAAACATATTTATCATTGGCTATAGATGATGAACTATTAGAATGAGAAGAGTTAACTCAGTGCTGTATGTAGTAGAATTAAGGGAAGGAGAATTGGAAAAACTGCTCATAGTATTATTAATGTATTGATCAAAATTACAAGGAGTAATACATTGAGAAATACAATTTGACAAACAGTTGGAAACATGATTAGTGGGTGCTACAGAAGAACATGAGACATTACAGCTAGCACTACACTTAGTCTTAGAGACAGATTGAGCAGAACTGGAAATTGAACTGGAAGAGAACTTTGACAGTTGAGTGGCAGGATTTGGAAATTTTTAGAGGCCATCACTTACAACTGATCCACGCAGTAATACTTCAGATGAAACCTGAGATTTTACAACACAAAATTTTGGGTGAAATTCAAAGAAAACATTGTTATCCTGAGCAAACTTGCTCACACTCATCAAGTTTTTAGTAATTTGAGGAACAAGTGAAAGATTGCTAAGAGTAAGGGATAGGGTAGGATTGGTTGGTAAGGGAAAGGACATGAAACCAACATAATTGATTGACAAACCTTGGCCATTTCCCATGAAGACTTGCTCAGTGTCAGACAATGAAACAAAATCAGTCAAATTAGAGGCCTCAGGAGTAACATGATGAGACGCACCTGAATCCGGATACCACCATTGATTATTGAAATTAGCTTCAGTACCTGCATAGAAGGTTTGAGGTGCTGAAGGTCTAGGAGGTGCACCTTTGGGAGCAAGATAGCCAAACTGAGATGAATACGTGGAGCGAGGTGGCATGAGAAAAGGATTGAACGGAGCCTTCTGAGATGTGTACGCAACTCCACTAGCGTTAGAGTAACGATAATAACAGACAGAAGCGTCATGTCCAGATTTGTGACAGATATGACACTGCGTTTTGCCAAAGCGTCCTCCACCACGACCATAACGGCCACCTCCACGACCGAAACGACCTCCACGTGAGCTATAACCATGGTGCTCAGCATGCGCAATAACATGACTCGTTCCTTGAGGAAACACATCAGTGACGGTTTGATCAACAGGAACTGACGCAGACGGTGACGCTACCTGAGTGAGATTCGCCGTCACAGGCTCCGTAATCATAGCTTTGCGATGCTTTTCCAGTCGTGACTCATGTGCAAGCAAAGACGACTCCAATTCTTCTAACGAACTGACCTCTTCTTTACTGTTAACGGCCACAACAATAGAATCGTACTCTTCAGGAGGAGAATCAAGAACGATCTCGATTAGTTTACGAAGAGGAACAGGATCCCCAATTGACGTCAACGATTCACTAATTTCACGCACACGAACCATGAGTTCGTTGATCGTGAGTGCTCCTTTTGTGAGACGACGAAGATCCGAGCGCAACTGACGCGCTTTGGTGGAGAGAAGAGTGTTGAAGTACCGATGAACCTCCGTCCAAACTTGCCAAGAATGCTTGCAATCCACAAGCTTCGGAAGAAGCGAATCGGAGATGGTGGATAGCAGCCAGGTACAGATGAGTGCGTCCTGTTGTTCCCATTCCAGGTACGTTGAATTCGCACTGTGAGATGCTGAATCGGAATCAAACGGTGACCTCTGTGGAATCACCGGAACCGTAACAAATCGCTGCAAGCAATGACCGCGAACAATGCCGTCGATCTGTTGCTTCCATTGCTTGAAGTTTTTATCGTCAAGCTTCACAGAGATCAAGTGAGAGAGCTTCACTTGTGAAGCCGGAAACAAAGACTCCATGGATCGAAAAAAAATTAAGCTCTAGATACCATGATAGAGTTTGATAAAGTGAAGAGAGAATGAGTAGATTGAAATCTCATATTGTATTAAATAAATAGAATAATACAAGGGACTCTCTATTTATAGAGAGAGTAAGCAAAGACTAGATCTAACAAACTAACTGAATGCTGTAACAGAATGACAGCTCAGCAAGATCTAACTAACTAACTGAATGCTGTAACAGAATGACAGCTCAGCAAGATCTAACTAACTGATACAAAATGCTAACTACTCTATTAATGTCCTATATTGACTGTTGATTTATTATCGCAGTAGAGCTTTATAGGTCTTTCCCAGTTGATCTTCAAGTCTTCTATAGTACTAAGCTTAAGTAATTCACAAATGTCGGGTGCTATGACTCAAAATTCAGCTTCAGTACTAGAATGGGATACTGCATTTTACTAACTATGACTTGTATTCAAGCTGCAATTGTTAGTTATATACTTGCAGTCTTTTTATTTTTTATTTTTTATTTTTTTTTATTTTTAAATCAAAATAAAAAGGCAAGTGTTGATTGGATCTGCGACTTCCTCCCAATATAGTAATTGCTTTTATGTTTCTCCACATATTACACCATCTAGTATAAAGACATGTAGTTCACTTTGTATAGGTTGTTCGCTGGGGACGTTCTGTTTATGCAAATATTCAGAAATTTATACAGTTCCAGCTCACTGTAAACGTTGCTGCACTTTTTATAAATGTGGTGGCAGCAGTATCTTCTGGTGAAGTTCCTTTAAACGCAGTACAGGTACCTCAGCCTCTTTATTTTTATTTTTATTTATTTATTTTATGAGTTTTGTATGTAGTATTCGAACTACACATAAGAGTCACATCTACAATTTCCAATCTTTGTTTATTGATTTCTGATGTAAATGCTCTTGGTACAGCTTTTGTGGGTCAACCTTATTATGGACACACTTGGTGCTCTTGCTCTGGCTACTGAACCACCGACTGACAGTCTTATGAACAGATCACCAGTAGGCCGAAGGTTTGGATTGATTGGCTTCCTCACTATATTTGCAACTTAAGCTTAATAGTTAGTACTCTTGAACCTGCTTGATGCTGGCTAGCACATAAAAGAAAACCCACAAACCTATCATTTGCTGCTTGTTCTGTTAAACATTGAGTTTTTCACAGAGAAGGCAATGAAGCAATCTCTTTCCCATAGTGACAAAGTATGTTCAGAGAAAAATCTGGCCATTCTCCAGAAATGCTTGCACTCTTTCTTTCCGAAAAGCATGAAAACGAGTGAGAAGGAATCAACTCACTGTTCATCATACCAATAAAGCATGTGAAAATCTGAGTTTGCACTGTGCACCCTTGTGTCTTCATCCTAATTTTTGTGTAAATTGCATTGTTTTTCCTCACATTTTTTATTTTTTGTGAAATTTCTTCCACTTTTACGTGTATTTAATTAACCGAATTTAAAATTGTAGCATTTCTCTATAACAGAGGCACCTACTGACTGAGCATATAGTTGATTTGGGCTTTGAATTAACCTTTCTGTGCACACTTTGAAAGTGATATTCTGTTTGGCTTTCAGGGAACCTCTTATAACAAATGTCATGTGGAGGAACTTGTTTGTACAGGTAAAATATATTTTATTCCTTAAAATCATCATTGAATTGGAAGCAGAAGGAACTTCATCTCCTGGTTCTTAACTTTGGCATTGCAGGCTCTCTATCAAGTGATTGTTCTTCTGGTTCTTAACTTTGGTGGTGAAAGTATTCTACGTCAAGATACTAGGACACATACCTTAGAAGTGAAGAATACTATAATTTTCAACACATTCGTCATGTGCCAAGTTAGTACACATGTCAATGAAAATATAAGTTATTTGTTCATACCCTTGCTTATTATTGTGTAATAGGGGTTAGTCAGGGATTGATGTTTTAAACTCCTCTTCATACCAGAGTCTCTTATTTTATGTTTGGATTGATAAAAAGAAATCAACTGCAGTAAAATGAAATGGAATCATACTATGTTCCACTGTTTGGATTCTTTAAAAAGAATGAAATGAGATGGAACAATATAGACTGTATTACATTTCATTTTAACCATTGCCCTCCTAAATTTGAATAAAAAGAGTGGAATTATTTTCTTTTTCTCTCTCTGTTCTTTCATAAAAATATCCAAATGATGAATTGGTAACTTCATTCCATGTCATCCTATTCCACTATAATAAGTGGTATTCCCCCCCTATACAATTGCAAGAATGTTATAGCCTAGTTAGCTCATCAAATTCTAATTTAAAAGTTTTATGATGTTTCAACTGACAGATATTCAATGAATTCAATGCTCGGAAGCCAGAAGGAATGAATGTCTTCAAGGGAGTGACTAAGAACCGTCTGTTTGTGGGAATTGTTGGAGTAACCTTTATACTTCAGGTAAATAGGCATCATTCTTTTATTTATTTTCTTAGTTGGCAACATTTTGAGTGCATCTCTGACGCCATGTTTAATTGATAGATAATCATCATCGAGTTCCTTGGGAAGTTCACAACGACAGTGAGACTTAATTGGAAGCAGTGGCTTTCTTGTGTTTGTATTGGGCTGTTCAGGTTAGTACGCTCAACTGCAGCAGGTTGATTATCCATATTTGATAATCATTTTACAATCAAAAGTTGACAATCATTCTTCCCTCTCAATATATCTTAGCAATATTATTATTTGAAAAATACTTAAAAACAAAAATCCACGTGCCCCTGATTCTTAACTGGCTGATTTTATTTTCCAACAGCTGGCCACTTGCAATAATTGGAAAATTAATTCCAGTTTCCAAAACACCTTTGTCACGAAGTGTTGTCAAGGCATTTAGGCGCTTGAAGAAGACCCGGACTCAATAATGGGCTGTCAAACTTAGAATCAGCAATTCATAGCATACTAACGACTGACCATACATATCGCCGAGCTGAGCCAAGTTTTCTTTCTAGAATTTGTTACATACTGTATATTCAACTTATAGCAATCATATCATATTTTGACTGTAACATACTGTACATTCAACATATACAGCAATTAGGGAAGTTCCGAACAATATGTCAAAGTGAACGTAATGTATTTACCAATCCCCCCCCCCCCCCCCCCCTTTTTTTTTTTTAAGTCAGGTGGGATGGAGTAGATCTTTGTCAAAATTCCTATTCAAGTAGTGAAATATTATGCTGTGAATTGTTAAGTTAATTATCAGTTCAGTTTTCACTTCAAAACTCATTAAATAAATCGAAGGACAGCCCTATTCAAAGTGGTTTTTTTCCCCAACATGTGTAGCCTTATTTAGGTCCTTTTACAGAATGTCCTTTATAGAATTATGATACTATTTACCAAATTTGAAGCACAAGGCATACAACAAGAGGGGTATCTTATAGGGATACTGCAGCTGTTGATCCTTTGAGTGGTCATGAGTTTGATGTTGACTCATATTATGTAGAATCATGATGGGTGATCCTTTGTTCAATCATATTGATTTTTGGTGATATATTTTTAGTTGTCTTTGATATGTTATTCGTTCCGAAGTTATCTCAAGACTCATCAGAGAGAAAATTTAAGATTCAAGTAAAATGCTAAAGTTAAAGATAATATAGTAAGAATTTTGAAGCTTTTAAAGTTGTGAAAGAGAAGAAGTGTGAAAGTTTGACCGGTTAGTCATGCGTTTAGCGTAGTGTCTAAGTGACCAGAGTATTATAAAAGTGTTAGAGTAACTCATAAGTTACAATCGTGCACTTATAGCAGTGTCTGGGCGACCAGAGTATTGTAAAAGTGTTAGAGTAACTTATAAGTTATTAAGGCAACTTTCACATGTGCACGTGAAAATGTTTTTTGTATATAGCTAATTGATTACAAGTATAAATAATCAATTATGAGTGAAAATTACACTAAATAATTAAATATCCATTAGGTCTAATTGATTATCTCAATTGTAACGCCTCAAAATCGATTACTAAGGTTGATAGTTAATTAGTAACGATGTAATTTGAAAACTTTTCTTTTTAACACTACATAATCGATTATGGGAATTGCTCTTTCCACCTTTATACGTGTTCCACCACCACCATGGACGCCCATGTTTTTAGCCATTTTCAGATGAAATTGATGGGACGTCCCTATCATGCCAAAACTTAATCCAGAGATGCATCTCTATATGTACTAAAGGTACGTCCAAATATGCATCTATGTATATACTATTTATTCAAAAGTTAGTGGGTGGTCCAGAGATGCATCTCCAAACGCTTTTGTTTTTTATGCTCACGCCAAACCTTTCATGTTCCTCCTTCATTTTCTAAAAAACTTGTCAAAACAAAACATTTGAGCTCTCACACATTTAAGCATCTCATCCACTCATTCAAGTTCTACCGTTGAAGCTCTTTCTCCTCTTTTCATCTCATAGATTCAAGTTTCTACTTCTTATTCTCATCAATCTGAATTTGTAAGTTTTTCAAAAAAAATATCTTTGTGTTTTGATAATTATCTTTTTGTGTTTTGATTTGTAGTTAGTTGCTTAACATACATTAGTTGTTTTAGATACATTAGATAATAATGTAAACAAAAAATTGATAGCCTACAAGAATATGCATTGATAGATTTTTGGTGGGCTAGGGAAACAATGATGTTTCTGTCATGGTTGAGAATTAGAGGTTTGTTTGGAGATGCATATTTGGATTTTTCCAGTGCTATTTTTGAAGATGCATCTCCAGATTTGACTCAAGCTAAAATTTGGTTGATTTTGTCGATTTGTACTGACATGGTCTTTATCTCTGTGTCGGTTTGTAACACAAGTGCAATAGATGATAATAATGTCGAAAATAACCCTGACAGAGTTAGGCTGAGACGTGTGTCCAAACCATGTCGATGCAATGTGAGAGGGTCGCAGCTAGGACGACGATGCCACATGTTAGTGTTAACTCGTTTGGTAGTTCACAACCATCATGTTCACAATGCCCATGCTCTCCTTCTCGTAGTTGACTCTCTCAACCATCCATTTCACGAGGTCACGAGTCCCTAGAAGATGCAACAGACTTGGAAATCCTTGAAGCCCTCTAAAGGCCATGAGAAAGTTGCTATCCCATTAGAGAGTAATCTTGAAGGTCTATTGGACACCTTCTTACTTCATCTCTATGCATATCATGCTGCTAGGCATATTTGGGAAGGATAAGTATATTTCTTTTAAAATACATGTTTTCAACTAATTACATCAATACTGAGGTAATATTTTATTTTTAGTGGGCCATGAAAGGATTAGTCAAAAGAAAGGCATTAATATGATGGTCACCCATTTAGGGGTTGACCTAAATGAGGCCTCACATGAGGGATATGATACAAGAGGTGCTTATGCTAGATTTAGTTTTTAGAAAAGCTATATAAAGACAATATGCAAAAGGTTGTGGACTCCAAAGGCGATGACATGCAGGTTGAGTACCATCAGACTTGCGCATTGAGGTGATATCTCTTGTTTTTGGTTAGTGAAACACCCTACTTGTGACTCGACAATTAATTAAATAAAACATGAATCCAACAAGTAGAATGCTACTCAACATAAAAACCTCTCATACTTGAACCACATAATTAAAAACAACTCATTTCATAAGCAGCGGAAAATTTAAAAATAGTTGGAATAAAAGCCTCATCAACCAAAAATTTGAAAAGAGATTCAATGTTAAAAGTAATTGAAGATATGCAACATAACATAAAAAACAAAACAACTCGTCGCCTCGTGTTACATATCAGAGCGACTCCAACTATAGACTCGAACGACAAGTAACTAAAGAGGCACAACACCATCCTCAACCCCAAGCTCCTACCCATGCACCTGATTGTCTGTACTCTAAAGGAGAACATACGCAACAACATAAAAAGGGGGTGAGAATACACTCAAATAATAAACGGTGCATTAACATTCTGGATAGATTCACACATCTACACAATCATCCACATAATTAGAAAACACACCAATATCATGCATTTACAATATGAATGCAGCAATGACTCGACTCATGCTTGTCACGGTCCCCACTCTGAACCGGACGCACAACTCAACTCTATATGCATGCGGTACCAACTCAATGTTTGGACCTTCATACGAACCAACTCCCAATCTCTGCGAATCCCGAGCCCCCACTTAAGGCTTGAGACAAATCACTAGTCCACACTCCGAACTAGCGAACACTCATTTTTCACAATAACAATGACATATGATACATGACAACTATTCATACAATGACACAACATCAGAATGAAAACAACCCCACTCTGATTGTAAACATCCACATAACAACAAGGTAAGGATTACAACCCCACTCTGATTGTAATTCATCATGCACTCAAAACAACACAATTAATTCTCTTCCTGATGGAATATTCTATTCATGTACTCTATGAACACTCCAGGCACATTAGACACTCCAAACGACATCACTGAATACTCATAGTGATCATACCTCTTTCTGAAAGCAGTCTTTGAAATATCGTCGAACTTTACACGTATTTGATGATAAACCGAACACAAATCTATCTTACTAAACACATAAGCACCTACCAACTGATGAATTAAATCATCAATCCTCGAAAGTGGATATTTGTTTTTCATTGTCATTTTATTTAGTTGTAGATAATCAACACAGAGTCTCTTACTATCGAATTTCTTCTTGACTAACATTACCGGTGCTCCCCACGACAAAACACTCAATCAAACAAACTTATTCTCGAGAAGGTCGTCCAACTGTTTCTTCAGCTCACTCAGCTCTGAAGAAAACATCTTATAAGAAGCCATTGACACAAGACTAATCTTGCACCCCAAAATTTGCTCTCATATTTCTAACCCTAACTGGCTTTCCCTTCGCATTCGTATGCATCTCCATTAGGTCATAACTTTGCATTCATTCATTTGCATTGAGCTCCTAAGACATGAGATCAAAGCATTTTCTTGTGATTTGATTTTTCCCTATTCAGAGGTGATTTATCTGGCTATTGCGCTCAATATTGAGACAAAGGTTGAGCTCCCAACCTTATGAGTATCTTCTTATCAAAAGTTTATCAAGTATCAAGTTTATCTTCTTCAAGATTTCTCAAGAGAATTAAGTGTTTGGGGTTTCATCTTTGATTTAATTGAGAAGGCTGTGGATTAGGGTTTTGATTCCTTTGAACAACTCAAGTCATCTCTTCATCAATGTATATCTCAGGTGGATTAGGGTTCTTATTCATGGTTGAACTTATGGGCTTTTATCAGTTAAGGCTCATTGGATTAAGGTTATCATGTCAAGGACGTCCTGGTGGTCATGTTTCTCTCTACATTTCATATCTTATTTTTATATTCAAGGTTTCCTCAGGGAATTGTTCTTGTGTTGAGATCATTGGTCGTAAATGCAAGATATCTTGTGGATTGGGTTGTAAAGCATTAGGTCATGGTACAAGAAATCAAATGGTGGACCCATGATGTGATCAACGCATTATTGTCATATCAGTCGCTTGTCACTTGTTGCTTACGATTCAGTTAACCAGTTTTATTGATTAAAGTCAGGGGTTGATTGAATAAGTTTGCTTTGGATTTGAAGTTTGATGTGGATTGAACATGTTAAGATTGGTCATGTGGATTACTTGGAATTCAAGATACAAGTCCATTTTTCTAACCAATAACCATTTTCATGTTAATATCCATTCCAATACCGTTCATACAAAAGTCTACAAAAAAAAATACAAAACCCAAGTTATATTTCATAAACACATTTCACAAAATCATTACATTTCCATAAAGTCCACTAAAAAAGCCAAAAATGTCCATTACAAGAAAGTCCATATTCATAAAAAATGGGGTTTACAAAAGTCCATTTATACAACAAGAGTCCATTACATGTTA